GGATGGCACTACACAACTGAAGTGTCCATCTCTGATTGAATGCAATGAAATTCCTATCTCAAAGCGAGAAATAGCTACTCCTGCAATAGCTAGGCACTACAAACATCTACAGGATATAGAACAGTTCATTCCAGAACTTGATAGGAATGCTGAAGTAATGCTCCTCATAGGACGGGATGTGACCGCCGCTCATCACATTTTAGATCAAAGAATTGGCAAGGACAATGAACCGTATGCACAACGTCTCCGTCTAGGATGGGCGATAATTGGCGAAACATGCTTAGGATTAGTACACACTTCAGATACAATCACAGTAAACAAAACAACAATTCTTCCAAACGGAAGAGAGACAAATCTCAAACCATGTGAATATGGTTTCAGAGTGAAAGACAAGGAACCAGATATTGGTAGTACTGTATTCCAACAAACTAGAGAAGATGATACTTTAGGATTATCTCAAGAGGACAAAGAATTTCTGATCGTTATGAATAAAGAATTTCACACATCAGAAAATGGTCGTTTATCGGCACCTTTACCGTTTCGGAGAGATAGACCAAAACTTCAAAACAACTATCATCAGGTAAGACAAAGAGCAGAGAATCTTAGTAGAAGCTTCAAACGAGACCCCACTAAACAACAGCATTTCGTAGAATTTATGAAAAAGATATTTGTAAATAATCACGCAGAAGCAGCCACTCCGGCTAGAGAGGGAGAGGAAGTTTGGTATCTCCCAATCTTTGGAGTTTATCACGCAAAGAAGCAATCAAAAATCCGAGTAGTATTTGACTCATCGGCTAAATACAATGGGATTTGTTTAAATGATATTCTTATGAAGGGACCGGACTTAACAAACAACTTAGTTGGAGTACTATTGAAGTTTAGGAAGGGTAAAGTTGCCGCAATTGCAGATGTTGAACAAATGTTTTTCAATTTTGAGGTCAATGAAGAACACAGGAACTACTTAAGATTCGTATGGTTTAAGGACAACACTGTAACAGAACCACTGACTGAATATCGGATGAAAGTTCACGTTTTTGGGAATTCACCTTCTCCAGCTGTAGCTAATTATGGTTTACGCAAAGCTGTTTGCGATCACACAGATTTAGGCACATGTGATGATGTATGTCATTATGTGAACAACAATTTTTATGTAGATGATGGTTTGGTGTCAGGCGACAGCCCTGAGGAAATTGTAAGTCTCATCAAAAGGACTCAAGAAAGATTAATAACAGGTGGTAAAATCAGACTGCATAAGATAGTTTCGAATAATAGTGAGGTAGTAAAGAGTTTTGAAACAAAGGATTTAGCTGAAAGCATTACCGAGATTGACTTTAATTCAGAGTCTGCATGTCTACAGAGAAGTTTAGGTTTATGTTGGAATGTTGTAAAAGACATTTTCACCTATCAGTTATCTAAAGAGGATAAACCCTTTACAAAAAGAGGGCTGCTTTCAGTAATTAACGGAATATTTGATCCGTTAGGGTTCATAGCTCCTGTAATCCTTGGCGGAAGGTTGATTATGAGAGAAGCAGTACAAAACAGTTCATTAGATTGGGATGATCCGTTGTCCGATAATTTACTCTCTGACTGGCAAAGATGGAAACAGTCCTTACAAGATCTTGAAACATTAGAGATAGGGAGGTCATTCACTAGTCAATCATTGACCGACAATACTAAATGTGAATTACACATCTTCTCGGACGCATCAAAGGAGGCGATTTCGTCTGTTGCCTATATCCGTACATTCGACAAAAATGGAGACTCGCAACTAGGTTTTTTAGTAGGAAAGTCCAAACTGGCTCCGTGTCATGGACATACCATACCGAGGCTGGAATTATGTGGAGCTGTTCTATCAACTGAATTAGCTACATTCATTCAGAATGAACTGAAATTGCCATTAAGTTCCACACACTTTTATACCGATAGTCAGGTAGTACTAGGGTATATACACAATGAGAAAAGAAGGTTTTATGTGTATGTCAGCAACCGTGTAAGCAAAATTTTGAAAGATTCTGTCAAATCACAATGGAGCTATGTACCAACAGAGTTAAATCCGGCTGATCATGGCACACGGCCGTTAGAAGCAAAAAATGTAGGAGACTCAAAGTGGTTATTAGGACCAAAATCATTTATAGATACTTTTCACAAATCCGAATGCACTTCATTTGATATTGTGTCACCTGATGAAGACCAGGAAGTTTGTCCTATAGCAGTAGAGTCTATGAAAACATCAATATCACCTATTAAAACCTTAGGAGTTAGTCGGTTTGAGAGATTCTCAAAATGGTCAAGTTTAGTAAGAGCTATATCTTTGTTGAAAAGAAAGATTGTGTCTAACAATAGGAGTAAAGTAGATACTAAGGATACACAGACTTGTGTAAATATCAGAAAAGAAGCTGAAGCACTGGTTTTGAGAGAGACTCAGTCACAGTATTATTCCAATGAAATAGATTGTTTAAAGAGTGGTAAACAATTACCCAAAAACAGCAATATTATTGCACTTTCTCCCATACTTGATTCAGAAGGACTATTACGATTAGGCGGAAGACTGAAACATGCAAAATTAGAAACTGGAGAAAAGATGCCTCTCATCATACCAGGTCGAAGCCATATTGCTTCGTTGTTAATAACACACTTTCATGAGTCAGTGCACCATCAGGGACGCCATTACACAGAAGGTGCCGTACGCGCCAATGGTTTCTGGATAACCGGAGGAAAACGCCTTATCAACTCTATTTTGCACAAGTGCGTACAATGTAGGAAACTCCGAGGAAAGGTAGAACACCAGAAAATGGCAGACCTGCCATCAGATCGTCTTACACCAAGTCCTGCGTTTTCATACGTAGGTGTTGATACATTTGGACCATGGTCTGTAGCCACAAGACGAACACGTGGAGGTGCCGCAAATGCTAAACGATGGGCAATAATGTTTTCATGCCTTGTTACTCGTGCCATCCACATTGAGGTTATAGAGGAAATGACGTCATCCTCATTTATTAATGCCATGCGTCGTTTTACAGCAATAAGAGGACCCGTAAGAGAATTTAGATCTGATCAAGGTACAAACTTTGTAGGAGCAGTAAATGAACTTTCACTTCTATTTAATGATGAAAATGTTCAGGGATATCTGTCTAAAAAACAAATTGTGTGGACATTCAATCCACCCCATGCCTCACACATGAATGGTGCATGGGAACGCATGATTGGACTGGCAAGAAGAATTCTTGATTCAATGCTAACGGACATTCAAGGAAAGCAACTTACTCATGAAGTTTTATGCACATTAATGACAGAAGTTTGTTGTATCGTCAATAGTAGACCAATAATTGCTGTGTCAAGTGATCCTGAATCACCTACTATTTTGTCACCAAACACTCTTTTGACACAGAAAATTAATAGTGATATAGAACCGTATAATTTCGATTTTTCTGTGAAGGATATGTACAAATCGCAATGGAAACATGTACAAGTTTTAGCGAATCAATTTTGGAAGCAATGGAACCTACAATACTTGCATAACCTCCAAACTCGATCAAAATGGCCAATTGAAAATCGCAATTTACAAATTGGTGACATTGTGCTCATGATTGACGTTAGTTTATCACGCAATCAGTGGCCAACCGGAATTATCGATGAAGTATTTCCTAGTAAAGACGGATTAGTGCGCAAAGTATCAGTGCGTGTGATAAAGAATGGGGAACCAGTAACTTATACCCGTCCAATAACACAGCTTGTGCATTTGATGTCAGATTGAATTTTACAATTAGATAAGACAATTGTATTATAAGGGTTAATTTGAGTACTTTGATTTATTTGTCTTAAAGTTTGTTTAAACATGCCTTTATTGATTAATTTTTCATATTTTTTAGGGTTTACTTTTTGAAAGAAGTGATTTTACTTGTATGTAAAATCAGGCGGGGAATGTTCTGTCACATTTATTTAGTAGAGTTATCTTCCTTTCCCCACATTTCATTTTTGGTTAATTTTCGGTATGTTTCACTCCCCTAGATTACATGAATGGATAAGACCCGAGTAGATAGAAAGGAAAATGGCACATGGCCCGCAAGAGCCGCAAAGCAATTTTGGGAATAATTCATTATTTGGAAATCTAGTGGTCCCCCACAGAGTAAGTTTTATTACCTGCCTGATATACTCATTTATTTGTATGTAGATAAGTTTTGTGTTATAGATTCTTATTATTAAGGTTTTGTGCCAATTCATAAGCCACTTGGTTGTCTGCATTTTTTTTATATGCATTTGTGTTGAAATAATTTGCTACTTTTTCGTACATTTGTGTATTGTTAGATATTTTTCATATCAGTTAAGATATTAGGATTAGGCACATATCATGTATATTTTTCGATACTGTGTAATTGGAACTTTTCGTACTAAAGAAATGGCTAATTGAACAGAGAAACTTCTTCTCGTAACTTTCGTGCATCCGTGCACATTTGGAGTATTTTGCAACTTTAAATAGAACATTTATTATTATCTAGGCCTAGGATATAGTAAAACTTAGTCTATGTCAACGGACAATCCGCTTAGGACATATTATTAGTGTGATTAATTTTGTTATTGTTGATGTTATCTTTTACTTTGGCCTTGGTGTGAACCGAACATGTTGCAACTACAAATTCTGCTCACCTGGACACAAAGGTGCATTTAGGAGCAAATTGATAAATTTGAGAAATATATTTTTCTTGTTTGTTTTGAACATTTAAAGCATAATAAGTGATTTATTCATTGTTTTGCATTACTTGTATTATGTTTAATTACAATACATGTTAAGAAATAACTTAGGAACAATTACTTATGATTGTTTATTTTTTTGTAGCTTTTTACCTTCTCCTGGGAAGTTTGTAGTGAAATAAAGAATTACAAGAAACATTTTGTTAGTCATTAGGCATTACAGTTTCAGTTAATTTAACAAGACAAACAATACCAAGGAGCTATGAATCAATGAATACTCGAGGATGTACTACAGGTAACTCAAACAAATGATTTAATAGTGCAGGAATAAACAGAAATCTGCAATGACTGAATGAGAATGGTTTTCATCTTCGATTTTGGTATCGTTTTCGTTCGCTCCCAAATAATTTTTATACACGTTCGCCCCATAGGACCTAACGCATCTAATTTCAAATTCCAGTTGAATTGTAAGTTATTTTATTATTTGTATACAGTAACGTAGCTTGCATTCTGTTATTCACGAAGTCAAGGGGTCTTAAGCTATCGATTTTTTTTAACAATTTGAACAGGTTGGGCTCAAGTTAGGAAAAGTGGGGTATTCCCTGTTTTCAGGGACCATCCCAGTTTTCTGGTGTTAAAAAACCCCAGTTTACAGGGACTTCCTTTTTCTATTTCAATTCATGGCATGAAATTTACAAAAAAGCGCATGTTTTAACTGTATCAGTAGTATTTGTAAATACTTTAAGTATCTCAGGAACAACAAAACATGAATAAGTGAAGCCTTGTTTTTTCTAGAACTCAAAAACATACAAATCTTTTGTTTAGGAATCAGTTGATCAAGCTGCATGCTCCAGGTGTAACTGATCATAACTGAATTATGTTCACTTCTATTGAAATTTTCTATTCATTGAAATTAAATGCCTAAGTGATTAACTTATCTTTTTGTCTTCTCATAATTGATGATCAAGGTATGAATTGGTGAACAAAGGAATTGTTTTGTTGTGAGTTGAGCATCAAATAAGACTTGAAATTAGCTTGATTTTTGAACTTATAAAAACACTTGCTATCATATAACATTGTTATCACATGTAGAAGGTGCGCTTTTGTAGATTTCATACCATAAATTGACAAGGAAAAAAGAAGTCCCTGTTTACTGGGTTTTTTTAACACCAGAAAACTGGGGTGTTCCCTGAAAACAGGGAATATCCCAGTTTTCCTGACTTGAGCCCAACCTGTTGAACAAACTAAAGTTAAACTACCAACTTATTAGTTCATTACCTGCTTATAATTTTTCAATGTTCATATGGATACTTAAATCTTTTAAGACCATTCATGATTTAGTTTCTCATATCGAATTCTTTAAGTGTCGCAACTTCCCAGATAATGGCAGATCAAAAAATATTTATGAATAATGGAGATGGATATGTCAAATTCTGACTGAGTCTTATACAGTATAAATTTGTCACTTCTTTTTTTATTTGTGTATGATTCAAATCATACGTATTACTATCTTATCTATGATTAACTCAAAAGTTATATAGATAACAAACACTTGGCTGACTTGCAGTTATCACATACATGACACAAGACAATCACTGACAAGTTTCCGGACTTGCTAGCAGTAACTGAAAGCCAGATCAAATACAATGTACCTAATCTGTTGTACAAAATGTACACTCTAATACTGGTCACGTGGCTGTACCTCACTTTGACATTAGATTTAACGTCATATCAGAAGCAACACAATTGACTTGAATTGTGTCAATTTTTTTTATTCCAGCATATTTAGATTACAGAAAACTACAAATGGTATAAATCAATAATGACAACAAAACAATACAGTATAAAAAAGAAGATGTGGAATGATTGCCAATGAGAATGCTACAGGTCACTGTACAGCATGGCCAACTATTATCCTCAGTGTAAGCCAGTACAAGTTATCGCGCATGATTTTAATTTCTTATCCGTCTGATCAGTCTTTTCTGTGTGTGATATCTTATCAAGACAACATGCTGAGTTTGTAAAGACAATGTTGACACTCGTTAATAATTTGACAACACTAAGTAAACAATATTATAACCATATGACATTGTAGCATGCTAGGTTCCACATGAATACGAGTTGTATAAACTGACTTTATTTCCAAAAGATAAAATTCTATTTTACCGAATATCAAACATACAAAATAAAAAGTTGAAAAAGGACAAATACGAGATTATGATAACCAAACATATATACATGTATATATATCTATCATTAAATCGTTGGCTTGTTATATTTTATAAAAGCACTTACATAAAATTAAAATTGTTCTTTAACAATTTCAAAAGCAAGAGGGTTGTAATTGTGAGGTTATATTATATTAGATATAATATTCTTGATTTCAGTAACATCATTTTTAGAGAAGTATGCAATGAGTTGACAATCAAAATATGGATAGATGTAATTCATGTAATAACAAAATACATAATCGAAAAATGATTCACTATAGTCATCAATAGAAATGTTCACACGATGTTGTTCGATTTTGATATATCTTAAACCTTTCTTTCGACGTAAATCTGAATATGAGACAACGTAGATTTTTATCTTGTTTTACATAAAGAAAGTCCCACAGAAAAAGTGTATACAATAATGTTCAGAGTATAATATAAAAAAAGGGGGGGGGGGGAGTACCCTGCCCAGATAATAATATAACTGATATGTAAAGGAAAGTTTTAACCACAGATTTGAACTTGACAATTTTATCTGAAATTCACACCAGGTGACCAAATACATGTTGAAATTTGTGAACTTCACACGGATATCTTTAGAAAACATGCTAATCGAAACAACAGGGGTCGCAGGCATCTGTTTTCAAGTATAATTCTGAATTTTAACGATTCCAATTATCTTATTCATTTGATAAATTAAAAATTTCAAATTCTGCAAATACATGTACAAAAAATGTACAATATACATTTTTTTTTTTTATAAATTTTGTAAATGTAAGAAGATGTGGTATGAGTGCCAATGAGACAGCTCTCCGTAAACTTTACATTAACAGAAAAATAATTAAAATAAGTTTCCTTTTTAATAAATATTTTACATACAGTACAACCTGTGACTTCCTCTTAGTTATGTCCACCCTCTTGTATGGTCACCATCAAATGGTGGCCATTTATTGGGGTATTCAATCTTGAGATGTTGGCCATTTATTGGGGTCATAAAACATAGGTTGATGTTTTATCTAATTATGTTACCTGTTGAAATCAATCAGGGTTGAAGTTTTCAGCTTGTATGTTTCATTAAAATTAACCTGTGCAGGTAAATCAGGTTTCTTCTCAAATTGACATTTCACCTTTTCTTGAAAATGTAGAATAGAATGTTTGTTTTAGTCTTTGTTAATTCATATCATTTGTTGATTTTTCTGTCTTTAAATTTACATATTTTCTTTTTTTTCTAATGTTTTTATTTTTTTATGTTATTATTTTTTATTTGTTTTTTTGCTTCTTATTCTTTTAATTTCTTCTTGGAAAGAATCTTTAGTAGAAATGACAAAAATTCAAATATAAGTTATTGACTAGCATTTGAAAACAAAAGAGAGAATCCTTTAAATGATTATATTTTCAGAAAAAAAAGGTTATTGTACATGATGTACATGGTATTCTATTGTTCGTTTGCATAATTAAATGAATTATTATTAATTATAACTTATAATCATGCAAATGATATGTTTAAAGGAACCATGAAGCAAGCAATTTAACAAGCCAGTTTATTCACAAATTTAAATTATCAATATGAATGAATATCAATCCTTTTATAATAAATTTTGTTAACAAAGTTGTACAATCTATTATCATGATTATTATTCAGGAAAACTACAAATATCATTATATGGCATAGGAATAAACTATTTTTGTTTATCTTTGATATTTTTCAAATCTCAAAACGAGTTTTACATGAAAAATAACTAAAGAGACTTACAAAGAAATTATTTAAAGAAAAAACTGTCTTGCTTTTTGAAACAATTGTAAACTTATCAAATATGTTATCTTCAGTTTGGCTAATTTTGTCAGTTAACAGGCAAAATTTGTCTCCAGAAAATATAAAGTTCACTTCTATATAGATTGTGATATTTTTATGGTCTATTAATTAAATCACTTTTTGTTCTGTGTATTATATTGTCGAAACAGCAGGACTGGCATATGCATGGTACATATTCTTGGTATACATTTGCAAAGAATATTTCACTCAACTCAGGCCTTTTAGATAAAGTTAATAATTGCAGGGACTTGAATGAATTAGATTCTGTAAAGCCCTTGATTAAAAATGATTTTCAAAAAAAAAATAAGAATATTTTTGAAAATAAAATAAAAACTTATGATGAAAACAGTAAACTCAAATGCTTCACTAAGTAAAGAATTAGTGGTCATAATTTAGAAATAGAAAATGGTGAATAAAAATTCCTATAAAGGATAGAATTGTTTGTAAAATTAACATTTTATAACAACTTTGAGATAATCTATTTGAAAATTGTTTACCTCCTTATAATAATGTCTCTGTCCAGTTTATGAATAAAATCTTGAATCTTATGAATAAAATCTTAACCAAGAACAAAAAGTAAAAGAAATGCTAAACCTCTATAACATGGAACACGTTTAAAATATTGGCTCCTTTATAAAAGAAAGTCATTAGAACTGAGGGCAGAAACCTAATAACTTTTTTCCATGTGTTTTGATTTCTTATAGAATTGTTATTTCTTTGCATTATAAAGTTTGTTTTGGGTTTTTTTTTTGTCAGAAACTTGATTAAATTGTAATATGTTTATATAACAATAAAAAAATTATCAAATTTTTCTGTAATGAATACTTTGAATATACATGTATTTATTCAATAGAGAAATAATGAATTGCCTAAATTTTATTTAGAATAAGTCCTAAAGATAATCTTAAACATTTGTTAAACAATGTTAAATGCAGTAAGTATAAACAATTTTGATTTTAGAAAATTAATTTGAGAATCACCTTTTCAATGGAAAAAGGCAGGCGTTGTAAAAGTTTGCATTATATTAGAAGATGATATTCATTTATTATTCACTTGCCAAAAAATATATGTAAAAAATAACTTAAATTGATAGAATTATTTAAAAGTTATAACATCAAAACAAACATTTGCAAACAGTCATGAGAAAATTTTTTTACAAAAAAAGTTAGCAAGCTATATGTTCAACTAGTTTTATTATTTCATTTTACTTTAGAATTTTCATGTCATAATCACAGCTATTAAAGTTTGACAAACACAAAAAGTAATATATTTTCCCTGAGACACTTTACCTGTAAGTTATGTAATTTTAACACTTCAATGCTGTCATGATTTCTCTTTATCCTTGACTAGTTTTTAAAGGCAGTGCTTTAATGCCTTTCTAGTTGCCGGGTTAATCCTTCCTTCCGCGATATCCAACTTATCTACGTGGGGGGGTCGTTAGGTTCCAAGTAGATCCGGAAATGTTGAATTCTCTCCTCTTCTTATTGTGATATAAAATGTTTTTTGTTTCATTTCATTTACATTGGAAAATAGAGAAACGATCATTGTGTTTTGTTAGTTTTAAAAACTTTTGATATATTTGTATTTTGCATTATAAGCAGTCAACCGATTGACAAACTAGAATTATTTGAATTCCGTGTGGAAAGAGCTCGGGTTAATTTCGAGTGTTATCTGCAATCTATATGTTTATAAATCATTTCAGTCGTTGATATAATAATTAAAGGTCGACTGAACATGAATTATATTATACAATTTAAAGCGCGTTTCTGTTTATGCACGTGAACCCGTCTAACGTTATTGTTATTTCGCAGTTATGTAAAGTAGCAAATTATCGTTCCTGAATAGGTGGCGCCGTGGTAGCCGATCCTGTTCCTCAACTTCCGGTTTCTGCACTGTGCAACTATTTCAGTTACATTTTTAATTAACGATGCCAAGTACTTGTTGTTGTGTACCTGGATGTCATTTAAGAGGAGGACATGCATTTCCAAATGACTTAAAAAGAAGGAAAAGTTGGATCAACGCCATGGCCCATACGCAGATTGGACGAGAACACGATGAAATCGTGGAGTCCATCTCAATCAGCTGTTGTTTGCAAGGCACATTTTACTGAAAAAGACTACGTGCAGGAAACTATTCATGGTAAAACTCTATTTTCTTTTTGAATTAATAATTATATATGTAATCGCCATGCGAATAAACCAAAGTCTGTTTACAACCGCAATTATCGTTTTAGAATAAAAGGGGGTGGTTAATTCAAGACGTCATAATTTTTTGGATTACGATTCAATGTGATCTGTTTGAGATTTTTTGGTGATTGCTACAATTATAATGATTTCTTACAAGATGTATATCATACTGAGAATTATTTTAGCAGTAATTATGCTAATGTAGTAATGACAGGAATGCATAAGCTATGCCTCATAGACTTTCTTGAAAAATATCAATGACAATGTTAACAGGAACAAAACAATGACATGCTCTCATCTATGTTATAGTTATTTAGGTACAAACAATGTACGTTTGTTGCATAAGCCTCTCATTGTTTGTCCTTTGGATTTACATAACATACATTGAATCAGGCAAACATAGTTTTATCCAGATTGTAATGAATAAATCTAGTTAATATTTCGCCAGGTAATAAAATGTATACATTGCTAATGGAAGTTCATTTAATTATCAAAAAACTAATGTTTTATAACCTTTTTCAGGGCGCAAACCCACCATTCAGAGACTTAAGTCTACTGCCATTCCCAGCCTATTTTCCTGGACCAAGCAAGAGACTGAATCGTCCGCAAAAAAGAAAAATCAGGGCAGTTTCCTGTGAAAACAAAAGAACTAAACTTGATGAATATTGTAGTAGAAATCTAGAGGAAAGTTTTGATTGTAAAGTTGGTTTTCCTGAAGAAGTCATTCATACTGCAGAAAGGATTTATGACTGTCCACCACCAACTGCCGAGCTAATGTTGAGCTTCACAGATGGAATTATGCAAACACCATCAATGCCTATGTTTTCAGCAGAGAATTTTAAAGTTTTAAAGTTTCCTACGACTTGGATTATTATTGACAGCACAGAATATCCCGTGATAAAACCTAAAGCTCCTAGAGCTCAGGCAATCTTTTCATCATATAAAAACAGAAACACTGAAAATACTTGTATGTTCGACACCTGGTGGTTTAGTCAACTATGTCTCTAATGCATATGTTGGTTCTACCAGTGACTATGAAATAGTTGAAAGATGTAGAATAGTTCAATTATGTGATCCAGGTGACAGTGTGATGGCAGACAAAGGTTTAAATGTGCAAGATTTGTTTGCTAATTTTTTTCAAAAAAAGAAACAGAATTAGTTCCAAAACTCTTATACGGGATAGAAAAGTCTCCAATTAACATGTTCACATAGAGCGAATTATTGGACTTGGCAAAACATACAAAATTCTAATAAATCCTATGAATGGAACTGAAACAAAACTTTCATCTGAAATAACATTTAGTTGTACTATGTTGTGTAATTTTAGAACTTGTATTGTGCCAAAGGATGCATAAATAAAAGTGACGCAATGAATTTTGTTCTGATATATATATATTTATAATTACATGCACATGTAAATTGTAATGCATATAAAAATAAGGAGATGTGGTATGATATTCAGTGAGTTTATCGAACTAAAGTGCATAAGAAATGGGTTTAAGCAGTTACAGGTGTTACTGTCACCGTACAATCTCCAACAATGAGAAAAACTTGTACCGTGTAAAACATTTCAGAGATCTTACCACTAAGTTTTGTTGTCTCACCTTGACTTTGGTGAATTGTTTATATCTGTTGATGTAAATATAAAAAAGAAGATGTGGTATGATTGCCAATGAGACAACTCTCCACAAGAGACCAAATGACACAGAAATTAACAGCTATAGGTCACAGTACGGCCTTCAACAATGAACAAAGCCCATACCGCACAGTCAGAGCTCTATAAAAGGCCCCGAAATGACAATGTAAAACAATTTAAACAAGAAAACTAACGGCCTAATTTATGTACAAAAAATGAACGAATATAACAAATATGCAACACATAAAACAAACAACAACCACTGAATTACAGGCTCCTGACTTGGGACAGGCACATACATGTACATACAGAATGTGTCGGGGTTAAACATGTTAGCGGGATCCCAACCCTCCCCCTAACCTGGGACAGTGGTGTAACAGTACAATATAAGAACGAACTATAAAAATCAGTTGAAAGAGGCTTAACTCATCAGAAGGATAAATACAAATACAAGTGGACGTGGTTGGGTAGTTGTACATCCAAACAACAAAAAGACACTAAGTACAGATCTGAGAGTACTCAAAGTTACTGACAGCTAGTTCAAAGCCACTAACAACTGATAAAAAAATCTTGCATCTAAGACTAAATTATCAATCAGTAAGCTCCCTTTAGAATTTTATAAATTTTAGATTTTACATTTTGAGTTATGGGGTTTTATTCATTAAAAAAGGGGGGATTTTCCAGTTTTTGTCGAGCCTGCGACTTTTGTCGCAGAAAGCTCGACATAGGGATAGTGATGTGGCGGCGGCGTTAGCTAACTTCTTAAAAGCTTTATATTTTAGAAGGTGGAAGACCTGGATGCTTCATACTTTGTATATGGATGCCTCATGTTACGAAGTTTCCGTCAGCCACATGTCCAATGTCCTTGACCTCATTTTCATGGTTCAGTGACTACTTGAAAAAAAAGTTAACATTTTTTGTAATGTTAAATTCTCTCTTATTATAAGTAGTAGGATAACTATATTTGGTATGTGCATACCTTGCAAGGTCCTCATGCCCGTCAGACAGTTTTCACTTGACCTCGACCTCATTTCATGGATCAGTGAACAAGGTTAAGTTTTGGTGGTCAAGTCCATATCTCAGATACTATAAGCAATAGGTCAAGTATATTCGGTGTATGGAAGGACTGTAAGGCGTACATGTCTAACTGGCAGGTGTCATCTCAACTTGTCCTCATTTTCATGGTTCAGTGGTTATAGTTAAGTTTTTGTGTTTTGGTCTGTTTTTCTTATACTGTATGCAATAGGTCTACTATATTTGGTGTATGGAATGATTGTAAGGTGTACATGTCTAGCTGGCAGGTCTCATTTGACCTTGACCTCATTTTCATGGTTCAGTGGTCAAAGTTAAGATTTTGAGTTTTGGTCTTTTTTCCTAATACTATATGCAATAGGTCAACTATATTTGGTGTATGGAAATATTTTATGATCTATATGTCAGTCACGCAGGTTTTATTTGACCTTGACCTCATTTTCACAGTTCATTGCTCAGTGTTAAGTTTTTGTGTTTTGGTCTGTTTTTCTTAAACTATAAGCAATAGGTCAACTATATTTGTTGTATGGAAGAATTGTTAGCTGTACATGCCTGCCTGGCATGGTTCATCTGACCTTGACCTCATTTTCATGGTTCATTGGTCAATGTTTAGTTTTCTTGGTTAATGTTAAGTTTATGTGACAGTTGTAATAAAGCTTTATATTAAGGACTATCAACATAATGTCAGTGATTGGTAAAGAAGGCGAGACATTTCAGCGTGTGCACTCTTATTGGACAACAACTCAAAAATGCTTTAAGCAGTTCGCATGAAACTTTGGTGAATTATTTATAGCTATTGATGTAATCTCCCTATAGATTTTCATAAATTTCAAATATGACATTGAGAAGAAATTGAACTTTATTTGTTTATAGTCTGGCAACAGATTTATTAAGTATTGCGCAACAGCACAGTGTATTGCACAACAGCAAGAAATCTTTAATTGAATATAAATTCAATTCATATAACCGATTTCAAGTTCGTTGACTACATTTATTCAGAAACTATAATATGTCAAATATTTAATTACAATCCAAATTCAGACCTGTATCAAGCTTGAATATTGTGTCCATTTTTGCCCCAACTGTTCAGGGTTGGACCTCTGCGGGTGTATCCAGCTGCGCTCAGCGAATCAGTTTATTTCTTAATTAAGAACTCCTTTTTTCATTCATAAATTACTTTAAACTTGGAAATATATTTTTGCTTGGAGTTATAGTTTCTTAAAAAAGTATTGTCATTGAAAGAGTTGACATGTTGCAATGTACATTTATTTTACATAGTTCTATGGTACCAAATCAAAAGTTTATATAAAAGAAAGAAGTCAAAGGTTTCCCATCATAGTTAAGTTACATACATTTTTTTTGTACCTGAGGTCGTTGAATATAGATCATTATATAAATAAGGAGATGTGTTATGATTGCCAATGAAACAACTATCATCCATACTTAACAGTAACAAACCACATTTGCAGAGTTGAATAAAATACAGTTGATAACATTTGCTTATTACTAAAAAGAAAATGCCTAACTATTTTAAACAGTATTTGAATATCAATTATATGGTCATTTTTATAAACTTCCTGTTTATACAAAACTTTGAATTTTTCGAAAAACTAAGGAATTTCTTATCCAAGGAATAGATTACCTTAGCCGTATTTGGCACAACTTTTTGGAATTTTGGGTCCTCAATGCTCTTCAACTTTGTACTTGTTTGACTTTATAACTATTTTGATCTGAGCGTCACTGATGAGTCTTATGTAGACGAAACGCGCGTCTGGCGTATTAAAATATAATCCTGGTATCTTTGATAACTAATTTGACTATAAACATAGATAAAAAAGGTACAAACTGGACATAATGCACTAGTTCATAAACAAGTGAGAACAATCACCTTCATATAGTGCTCAGAATATGACATTCATATAACTTGTTCAATATCATTAGAGAACTCTAAATCTTAAATACTGAAAGCCACCTCTGATAAGTACACTGTACTATGCAAGATAATGATATAACTGGACTAAAAATACACACAACCTGTAATTGACTGCCTTTACAGCTCTTTCGCGCTTTGATTGATTAATACCTTGTGTATTAATTAAGCAGCAGGGGGTATAATGATGGACATTTAGGGCCATCATGGTGACCATATTTTTTATGGCCACCATTAATAAGATAATGTCACAGGTAGTACTGTAAATGTTCAATTGCAAAATTAAAATTTTTTTCATGATAGAATCTTTTGAAAGGACGGAGACAAATTAAAAATAATATTTATTTTGTTCAATGCGATTTATTTTTCTAAAAGTTAAGTGTATAAAAGGAGAATGTGCATCAAACAAGCAATAGACTAGTAAATTCACATGTACATGTATGTATCTAAAATTTTGTTTCTTAAGGTAGATAGGGTGTCTTCCTCCATCTTGAATTTTGAAATACCAGAAAACAATCGGTCTAGATCTTTAATAAAAGGTGCAAATTTTGAGAGTAGTAGGTAATTCATGTGTAAGAATTTTCATTTCAATATAGAAAATGACCTATTTTATCATATTTATGGTTGTATTTTACAAAAAAACAGAATACTTTTGTTTGATTCTATTTTTTCCAACTTTGCCATATAAGGGGAGGCAACTCAAATGTAAGGGCAGATAATTCAGATAAAGTTACTTTTACAATAGAATGTGTTAGGAATTTACCTATTTTATTATGTAGCAAGAAAACGGGTCCCATGACCCCATTTTTTATTTTTCTTATCTGAAAGCATACTATTAGAGCTATCTTCACATATTTTATCTCAAAATTCTATGGTGTAGTTTTCGTTTTATGGCAGAAAATTGGGTTTTCCATGCATAATCATTACAAAATCTGTCAATTTTGCACAACCTGTAGCGTGAAAATAAGCCCCGTGTCCCATTCTTTTTATTATTTTTTTTTAAAAAGCATGATATAAGCTACATTTTGGCAAATTATTAAAAAAATTCTATGGATTATAATTTAGACACCCCATCTTCCTTAAACTGTTAAAATATTTTAGTTCAATTTATTTCATTTTTAAGCGATTGTCGTTTTGTAATCTTTAAATAAGCATTACTACATACAAATATTTTCGTATATAGTCCACACTGGCACATATGCTGCCCTTGTCTTATTCTTTTAAGACTTTGGCAATTGGTTTATCTTGGAGAATATTTTTTTTTTCTCATTTGAAACTTTTGTGCATTGAAATTTACAATTTATAAAGTAAACTTGAAAAGAAAGAGGCTATTAAACATTGTTAAACCGTCAAAGAAAAAAAAACACAAACAACTCATGTCTACTGAGAATAACAGAAGTTATCACATTGTCATGTGTTAATTATTTATCCATGAATATTATATTTACCTGGTTTGACTTAGATTATTTCTGGTCAACTTCAAAATAGATCGCATCTCGATTTTTGAATAAAAAAGGCCCTGATTCAAAAAAATTGTAAAATATGAAATTTATATCGTTGGATAGATTTAAAACCAGAGAATAAATATACATGCGAATGAAGCTGTTTCTAATAAAGATTTTATGTCAATTCATTAAAGAAAACCCATGTGCACACATTTTTGGTTTCGTATTGTATGAAGTACAATGTAATAGGTCGTGCACCCGGTGTTCTTTAATTGAAAAAGGCCCTAACTTCTGCAATCCTTATCAAAATACAAATTAGATCTGTAGAAAGCTTATAAATTGAACTTTCAAAATTGATGCCAATGAAAAAGAAATTTAATGATATTTACAGACAGCTAATCAAAATTTAAGATTTCCTTTAACAATCTATAGTAAATTTATCGATATCGATTGTGGTCAAATTTGACGCATGCGCAAAGCGGGTGCTGATAATAGTTGTGTATGGCCTTCAACAATGAGCAAAGCCCATACCACAAACCCAGCTATAAAAGGCCCCAAAATCACAAATGTAAAACATTCAAACAAGAAAACTAATGGCATAATTAATGTATAAAAAATGAACGCTAAAAACAAATATATATGTAACAAAGCAACAAAGGACAACCACTGAATTAATATTACAGGCTCCTGACTTGGGACCGGCACATATATACAGAATGTGGCGGGGTTAAACATGTTAGGGGAATCCAAACCCTCGCCCTTATATATAGAATAGAATAGAATATTTTTATTCACCAAATTAGGGCCCCAGAAGGGCATATAGCAAACAAACAATATTATTATAAACAATAATATTTAGATATGTATACATTATGACAAGTTCACAGATCAAGTTCAATATATATTCTGTTCAGAAAAAATAACTTAAGTTGTTTTAATTTTGCAGAGCTACATTCACGCAAACAATCAGTTTTTCACTTTCATTTTTATACTACCGCAAAAAATTAAAAAATTTTGCGGTCGTATATTGGTATGAAGTTGGCGTCGTCGTCTTCGTCCGAAGACACATTGGTTTTCGCACAATAACTTTAGTTCAAGTGAATGGATCTCTATGAAATTTTACCATAAGGTTTGATACCACAAAAGGAAGGTTGGGATTGATTTTGGGGGTTATGGTACCAACAGTTAAGGAATTAGGGGCCAAAAATAAGCATTTTTGTAACTTCCAGACAATAACTTGTGTGTTAGTGTATGGATCTCTCTGACATTGTACCACAAGGTTCCATATCACAAAGGGAATGCTGGGATTGATTTTGGGGGTAATTGCCTCAAAATTTTAGGCGAGTCCCCTGGGGTCACCTCCACCCCCTTCTTTTTGAAAACTTGTAAAGGGTCAAGATCTCTGAAACCATATATATTCTTGTATGGGACAATAAAACAAATCAAATGAAATCCATGGGGTATAAGGCGAGTCCTTTTGGGTCACCCCCACCCCCCTCCTGTTTAAGAACTTGTAAACGGTCGAGCTTTTCATTATTAATAAGATAATACCACATTGAGGTCCAAAGGGTCCTAAATTAAACTTTTGTTTAATTTCATCAAAAATTGAATTCTTTGGTTCTTTGATATGCTGATTTCCATTTGCACAGAAAATATTATGGATAAAATTAACCAGTGTTTCATTTCAACATAAATTAAATATATATATAGGGTTCTTTCAAATGCTGAATTTAAACTCTATTTAGATATTAGATTTTTAGGCCCAGTTTTCAAGTTGGTCCAAATCAGGGTCCAAAGGGTCCTAGATTAAACTTTTGTCTGATTTCATCAAAAATTGAATTCTTGGGGTTCTTTGATATGCTGATTCTAATATGTACTTAGATTTTGGATATTGGACCATAATAGTTATTTAAATGTCCAATTTCAAATATATCAGTTCTTTGACTACATTCATTTTGTGTCACAAACCTATGATGTGTCAAATATTCAATCACAATCCAAATTCAGAGCTGTTTTAAGTTTAAATGTAGTGTCCATACTTGCTCAACTGTTCAGTGTTCGACCTCTGCAGGAAAATCCGGTTTGCTGTCTCTCTGACAGCCTCTTGTTCAAATTAGTCTACATTAGGGTCCAAAGGGTCCAAAATGAAACTTAGTTTGATTTTAACAAAAATTGAATTCTTGGGGTTCTTTGATATGCTGAATCTTTAAGTTCTTTGACCACATTCATTCTGTGTCAGAACCTATGCTGTGTCAAATATTTAATCACAATCCAAAGCTGTATCAAGCTTGAATGTTGTGTCCATACTTGCTCCAACTGTTCAGGGTTCGACCTCTGCGGTCGTATCAAGCTGCGCCCAGCAGAGCATTTTATTGTTATATATGCTTGAAGATATTGATCTGATAATTTTCATGATTATTGTATACATGTAGTTTTACCATGACAAGTTGCATATCAAGTTCAAATTTTGTTTCAGTTCAGATGATTTTTTTTTATAGCAGAAACTGTTTAGGACAAATGTAGGAATTATGGTCCAAAACAAGCATTTTTCATGTTTCATGGCAATAAATTGTGTATAAGTGTAGGATAACTATAAAATTGTACTACTTAATAAGTCATTTGTAGGTTCCATACCTCAAAAGAAGGTTTGGATTAATTTTTGGGGTAACAGACTAAACCATGTAAACCATTTAATAATTTGGGGCCAAAAAAAAAGAAGGATTTTCTGGTTTCAAAACATTTAAGTCTTGAATAATATACATTGTACATCATTTGTATATGTTCATACACCTGAACTAATATATAGATAAAAGAAGATATGGTATAATTTCCCTTCACCCAAGATTAAATGACATACATGTAGAAGTTAACATAAACTACAGGTCACAGTTCATCCTTCAACAATGAGCAAATCCCATACAGTCTAAGGGGAAATTGTAAACAATCAATTTCAAATGGTTACAACTTGAAAACTAATTTAATAATGACAAGGGGTCTTTAGTTACTGTTGTAAGACTACAATGGGATGACCTGCTTTTAGTTTAAACTACTGGACCAAATTTAATAAAATCATTAAAAGGGTATCTAATACTATTAATTATGATTTTCAAAACAACAGTGGATACAGGTGAGTGACACAGGCTCTTGAGAGCCTCTAGTTGATATTTGATAGTACAATTCTAAGTTTAATATAAATACATATAGCAAGAAATACATGTATATTATAAGCTAATTGTTTGCAAAACTCTTTGAATAGTATTGCGTCCACAAATGTACTGTTTTCTCGCTTTCAGCAGTATTACAAGGTATGGGCAGAGGAGTTGACTATTGATAATGACTGATACTGGAATTAATGAAGTAACCTACATGTAGTGTCCAATCTCTATGTGGAGTTTGCCTATCAGACAGTCCATTTTTACATGTACCAAAAAATGTACGTTGACAGCCAATGCTAAGTATTAATCTTAAACATATAATCAATGATTGTATGTGCATCTCTGATACATATATTTCGCTGTTGTGTGGCTTTATTTCTGATCAGAGACTGATAAAAATCAGATTATCCTTTATTTTAAGTTCAAATATTATGTACTAGTAACTACATGTACTCAATGTCTTGCATTCATTTAACTAATAATGATGATGTAGCATCCAACAAAAAGTATATCTTTTTGACCTTCATTTTATGCCTCACTGATTATGTATATGTATGAATTCTGTCAGATTGTGGTACTTAAAAAAAGTTTTGAGTGTTTTGCACATATACTTTGTCATTGGACTTTAAATAAATTTGATTTCTGATAATGGCAGAGTGTTTTGAACATTGCTTCATAGTGATGATCAGATTACCTTTAATCAATATATATACAATGTACATGTACACTGCTACTGTAAAATAAAGTTTCCTAAATATTGCACTAATTTTAAAGTAACAAAATAGTACTGAATATTAAAAGTAGATTTCCAGTACTACATATGTTTGGTACAGAAATAGTACCTATGCAAAAGTAGCTGTGTATATAAATAGAATTTAATTGTTGCAGATTGATAATTTTTAGTAATTTGAAAATAAGGAGATGTGGTAGGATTGCCAATAAGAAAACTATCATGATCAGCCACGGTCAAAATGAAGGGGATGTAAGCAGTTTAAGGCCACTTTAAGACCTTCAACAATGAACAGAACAATACTGTTTACTCAGCTGTTAAAGATCCTGACAAAATGCGCAACAGTTCAATCTAGAAATTTAGTACTAGTCATTTTGCTAGTGATGTTCACTTATTGGTCAAAAGAAAAATTAATTGTTTTCTCTCTTGGTGAATATTTTTATGCCCCTGCTGTAACGGTGGGGGCATTAAGTTTTACCCTTGTCCGTCTGTACGTACGTCCCAAAATTGGTTTCCGTTCTCTAACTTAAGTTTGCCTCAACCAAATGTTATGAAAATTATACACAATTCTTATTACCACAAAACACAGATCAAGTTTGAATTTTGGTGGCGTCACTTTAACCGTTCTAGAGTTATGCCCTTTAGAAATGGAAAAATTGCAAAAGTTTTAGTTTCCGTTCTCTAACTTAAGTTTGCCTCAACCAAATGTTATGAAACTTATACACAACTGTTCTAGAGTTATGCGTGTTTACAAATAGAAAAATTGCTGAATTTTTAGTTTCTGTTTTCTACTTAAGTTAGCCTCAACCGAATGTTATGAGACTTACATACAATGCTTATTACCACAAAACTCAGATCAAGTTCAAATTTGGGTAGCATCACTTTTACCGTTCTTCAGTTATGTCCCTTTATAACTATATGATATGCAAGCAGGGGCATCATCTGTGTCTTCATGTGGACACTATCAACATTTATTTAAAACAATTGCCTGTGTGAATTTGACATATATCTAAATGAATTTTCAGTTGTATTGCCATGTTTTTATTTGGAAAACAGTTCATCAGCATGATCAGGTTCAGGTCTTATATTTATAATAATCACTGGAATTTAAATTTTCAGAATTAGCTCCCCAGATGTAAGTGGAAGTGAAGTTATACATGTTATATGTTTCGATGAAATGAATGACTTGATTAGATATACATGTAGTGGAGACCCTATAGATACAGTACATGTAACTGGTATGTATTTGTTACAGTATTTGCTGTCAAAATTGTATAACAAAAATGCCGAATCCTGTGCAAATTTAAAAAGGAGTCCACGCAAACTGACAAAATAAAAAAACACTATCAATCAACAGATCAAGGGAAAAGTTAATCTGCTATATATACATGTATGGAATAGGCATGTAGTTAGATTTGTTTACCCCTTTTCAGTCCATGTAAATTTATGAGAATAGAATATTATATTCTGGATTTCCTTAGATTTCAATTCTTATTTCATATTAATATTCCCATGTGTATATATGTTATGCTTGTAGTTTGAGGAAAATTATCAAAATAGCTTGACCAAGATTAAACAATAACTGCTATCATGAATTAGGCCATTTTTGTCTTGTCTGCAACTGATTGTATGGTGTACATGTCTGTCTGGGCAGGGTTCATCTTACCATGACCTGATATTCATAGTTCATTAGTCAATAATAAGTTTCATATTTTGGTCTGTTTGCAGAGGCGGATTTAGGGGGGCAGGGGGCCTCCCCCCTTCCCTGTTCTGGGAAAAATCTGGTTGATTATATAGGGAATCACTGAAGCTTGACCAGAGCGGGCCCCTTCTTAGGCAGTCAGTGGGCCCCCACTTATGAAAATTTCTGGATTTGCCACTGTGTTTGTTGTATACTATACAAGCTTTAATCAATTAACAGATCAGCTATATTTGGGGTAGGCAATGATTGTAAGGTGCACATGTCTGTCTGGCTTGGTTTTTCTGACCTTGGCAGTATTTTTTTCATGGATCATTGGTTATGTTAAGTTTATATATCATACTTATAGTAAAATTATATCTTTAGCATGTTTAGAACAATCAACATAAAATATATCATGAATAGTAAAACATGCAAGACATTTCAGCGTGTTTACTCGTCTCTTGTGATATCTATTTTATATAAATTTATACTGAGTGCCAATAAAAACACAATTCTGGTCCCCTTACACATGCTACAGCACATGTAGTTATGCCCAGCAACAGTCGAGGGGGAATAATATCAATTTACCCCTGTCCGTCCGGATGAGGATACTTTGTTTGTCTGGCTATCTCCTCCTACAGTTTTGGAGGTACAACTTGTTAACATGGCAAAGTTCAACCATAATGAACCGCCACACCTCCGTTGCAGAGGTAATTAAAAAATGTACAGTCTGCTAGATTATCAATTTTCAGAGCATTTGGAGTTTTGATTTATACCCCTATGGAAGCTATTCACAAATTTCTTAACTGGAAAAGTATCAGGTAACCAGATGTTTCCAGAATGCATAGAGCCATAAACATACTGTGTTAGTATTGTAATTTAAATGGGGCTAAGACATGTAAGAAGGGGGCTTGAAAATGATGAGTTGTGTTTCTATAGGCACTAAGTATACTTATATATACAGGTAATGTGGTTTGTTTTCATAAGTAATTTATTATAAAATTTGACATGGTATGATTGCCAATGAGACAACTATCCACCAGAGTCCAAATGACTGAATATTGACAACTGTAAATGATCATATGTACAGCTTTCAACAATGAGCAAAACTGATACAGCATAGCGAGCTACAAAATGTCCTGAAACAGGGTTGGCAAAAACCTGGGTTTTATGAGTATTGCCCAGCCCAGTGGGAATTACTGGGTTTTACTGGGTAAATCACCATCAAATCACCAATGATCATGTCTGAGCTTAAAATACAAAACAGTTATCTCCTAATTATAAGTTTGGTAATCATTGGAGATTAAATTGGTGTTATCTTTTTTGCTTGACTACAGAAACAAACATGCTGATTTTATTATATTACAGGAACTGTAGGAAGTATTCAAAGAGTCTGATTGCTAAGTATGCATTACAGGATTTTATCATTGGAGCAACATCTTAGGAGGAGAAGTGCAAATGTATGAAGGAATCCTTGGGTACAAATAGCAATTATATGCAGAAGAGGACTCTTAAACATTATTAACAGACATGTAGTCATAGTAGTGGTGTTTTCAAGAAACGTAAACCAACTGGAATTAACAATTGTGTATATTTTTTCAACCACAAGTACTTTCAGAATATAATACATTTCAAATTCAAATTATTGTGTCAACATACAAGTTACAGTAAAAAAATGAAAATGCATGTTTTAAAATGAATTTTATATAAAAAAATGAAATAACAAGAATTTTTAGCTTATTGTGCAGCCAAACTTTGAGATCTTTTAATGGTATATGCCTTTTGTTTGTCAACATTTTGCCTTAACCTTAAGATCAGTGTTAAAATGAGAAAAAAACTATTTTTGCATATATGAAATAAGAAGTAAATGGTTGTAAATTACAGAGAGCCTTTCAATATGGTACATTTGTATATCAGCTATATTTCACAGAACTTTTTATTTTAGTTTATTAGTACAATGAGACATGAGGTATACATCAATCAGCCAGCAATATAACAACAAAAACACCTGAAAGGCATTAAGGTGCTAACATGCAGTCCTCAACAAAAGACAGGTGTCTAAAAGATATGCCATGATCTATTTAATTGACCAGAGGCTATAAAAAAAATTACAATATGAATCAAGAATAGCCATCAACACCAAATTCTCTGAATATTTTTTTTTTTATTAAGACGAGATTTTTGACAACCACTGAAAAGATTTCTGGCTTTAAGCAGGTACATGAATAAGTGGCGAGGTGAACTAGTTTTTTTTCTTCAAAACCTTCTTAAAGAGAATTGGCATCTTTTGCAAGTAAGTCTTTTCCATAATGTGATTGGTTTGTGTCAAAACTGATGACCACACAATATGACTTATACAAACATAATAAAAATCAACTCAAATGAAATATACATCAGTGCAATCAACTTCTATAAATGACCACAGTCCATAAATCATTTACAAAAAAGGATTGAGACTCAACACAACCAAAAAAGTTCTAGGAGTGAACTAAGGTGCCCTGGATATAATTTATATCCTGTGATGCATTTGCTTGCCTTCTTTGTTTAAGACCAAAAAATTTTGGAAACAAAGAAAGTAAAACAGAATGGAAGTATGAACACATGGTCCAGACCAAGAATAATATTTTTCATGTTTATATATATATCAAAACAGAATTTGTATTAGATTAGAATTGACTTACATAAATAAGCTCAAATCCTGTGAAATTAGTGTGATTGAGGCTGAATTCACTTTAATTTCATTAAAAAAAAGAAGCTCGATTAATGTTAATTTCACGTGAAAAGTTCACGTGAATTTCACGTGAAGGCTCAATTCACGTGAATTTCACATGAAAAATTTCACGTGAATTTCACGTGAATCAGTATTTCACGTGAAAATCACGTGAGTTTAACGTGAAATTCACGTGAAATATTTCACGTGAATTACGCGTATAAGCTCGATTAACGTGAAATTCACGTTAATTTCACATTAAATTCACGTGAACAAAATTTGCCTGTGTATATAGATATAAGAAGATGTGGTATGAGTGCCAATGAGACAACTCTCTTATCCAAATAACAATTTGTAAAAGTAAACCATTATAGGTCAAAGTACATGCCTTTTTTGTCTGTTTACATATTTGTTTTTATAGTGATTAAGATATTAACACAATGTTGACTGCTGTGCCGCTATTTTGACATTTTACCAATCATTTCTACACAAAAAAGCCTGTACTAAGTCAGGAATATGACAGTTGTTATCTATTCAGTTGATGTTTTTGAGCTTTTGATTTTTCCATTTGATTATGGACTTTCTGTTTTGAATTCTCCTCGGAGTTTGGTAGTTTTGTCATTTAACATTTTATAGGTGAACATTACATTGTACAACAGTTGTTATATAAAGATGCACTTTGTTCAAATATAATAAAGATGACCTTTGCACGAATTTTGCGTTATTATACTAACAAAAAATTTAAAACTTCATATTTAGATATGTTGTTTAGTTTATTAATTTAACATTATTACAGAACAGTTTGCTAACTCCAATCAATAATTACCCGGATGTGAAGAAAGTATATTCAATTTTGTTCGAAAAGCAATCAAGAATTTTTTTTTTAAATTAAGTGTAGGATGTGTTTAAAAAAAATTAAAGAGTGATACTTTTCATATATATTCATCCGTTGCTCGTAATTTCATCATCTGTTGCAGTTTATATTAGTGGCCTGGAACAACAATCCGTTTTATAAGCTCATTGTATAGAATAAACTGGTATCATGATTTCAGTTTAATTTTAAATCCGTATAAAGACAAGCTTGTTCAGATGACGATTGAAGGAGCGAAGTGCATATCATTTACAAAAGATAATAGACAAAATAAGTAGTAGATGGTGAACAACGTTAACAGGATCGGAGATAGTAGACAGCAAGTCAGGAATATGACTGGTATTGTCCAATTGTTTCATGTGTTTGAGCTTTTGATTTTACTATTTGATAAGGGAATTTCCGTTCTGAACTTTCCTTGGAGTTCGTTTTGTTGTTATTTTACTTTTTGGTACTGATCGTTTTAATTTACCGAGTGTTAAAACGTGTGCAATGATGTTAGTATGTTATGCTGGATTTCTACGCTACAGCGAGATTGAAAATTCAAAGATGTCTAATATGAAAATATAAAAATGTTTTATACTTATGTTTCTTAGAATATTGAAAATGGGAAAACAGATGTATACAGTAGGAGAAATAGTGTTACAAATTCTATAACAAATTTGTCTACTTGTCAAGTAGTATGGTTATTGATATACATGTACTTATTTAGCGAAGCTATCCTTACATTCTGAGCAATATCTGTTTTGTTTTAAGTATGAAAGTTCTGATAAGTTAGCGGAAGTTAATTGTTATTTATATTAGATAAGGACTTAAACAAATACTTCTGAGCACATGAGTACTGCGAATGTGGTTGATTGTAAACAATTTTGTCTTCATAGTTTGCTCAGCAGTGATGCCACGGCCCCTGAAATTGGGTCTTTGTTTTCTGTAAAGGGCGATATTATATAATTACCTAATATTCGGACGAATGTGAGGGACAATATCAATTAAATTTAGCTCGTTGTCCGCTTGTTCGTTGCACGGTCATATTTTTGACCAAGGACTCTCGCTAGAGCCTGAAAACGAGACACGTTTATTTAAACCTTATTCAATTGGCACTGTTTTTTGTAATTATCATTAGTATTGTTATAATGAATTGTACTTGATATATAAATTAAAGTATAAAAGGTTATATTGGGTAACATTTTTTAAAAGATCTACTGTTACATACAAAGCAGCTTAAGGTCTTGATAAAAATAGCTTAACATGTTTTGATATTCCATGTCGCCGTAACGATTAGTAAACACAAAGTAAAGAAATTCATTCAGTCATAAGCAAGTAAGTATTTTTACTTGAATGTGTGCACGTAAGAAATGTTTAAAGAATATTTTTGATAATCTTTACAATTCGGTAATGTACAGTTTGAATTTATTGAAACCAAACTGTTTTTTTTTTTTATTCCAAAAGTGATAATGTTTAAATATATTTAAGGCAATTAAAAATAATGAAACAGCATCATTGTTACTTCGTTGATGACTTTGTATAATAAAATGGAAAGAGATATTGAAACGAGTAAAGGGTATATTTCTTTTATGAAATATATCCATATTACCATCCGTAAACTAATTCAGTAATCTTCAGTCAAAGTAGGGACGTTAAATTCAATGTCAAATGTAATGATTGTTGTTCTCTATGAACATAAAAACCAATTTTAACAACTCTTTGAGGGTCCGAAGTTGCTTGCTCCAAGTCCTTATTTCTGATACTATCCAATCATTCGCATTTTCTAATGTTATTCCAAATTTTATATCATACACCCCATTCAACCCGATATTTCAGGACCTATATATGACAATAATTGGTAATTCTAATGCAATTAGTATGTATCAATGGCTCTGATTGGATGACTACAAGCGTAAAATTCTCAATCTCCCTGTATGTAACTTAGGAAGCCGACATTTTGAATTCCGGACTATATTGACATGTAATTTCTCCAATAATAAACAAAAAAAACCCTCACATTTGGACCTACAAATCTTCTTTTCATCAAATTTTATTACATTTTGAAGCGGACAAGAACCCAGAAAACGTCCGGTGTTTACGTTTGATGCCGGAAGCACACCTATGACGTCACCTAGTTCAGGCGCCAAAGCAGATAACATCATTTCGCGGTATTTTCGTTTCATGAAAATTTTCACAGAAATAATGACTAAAATTGAATGATTTGTTTATTTTGCATTAGAATAGAGATAACTGTATTGTATTTGAAGCTTTGCGGACGTCCTTCGGTAGTTTTACGGTCGCAAATACCCATTTACCTGTCTCCGCTACGCGTCGCCAGGTAAACTAAATTTGCGACAGTGAAACTACCAATGGACGTCCGCAAAGCTTCAAATACAATACAGTGATCTCTAAATTTGAACTCGTTCTGAATATGCCTGAAGTATTTGCAACAGGACGTTTCACAAACACCTATCAAAAACAACCAATCACCATTTTAACAACGGGGACAATATAAATTTAACTGAGCCTTAATACGGTTTTAAGGGTTTTAAGTAAAATTTCCTTCTTTCTTCATTTAAACCGAATGGTCAAGTGGGCTGTTTCCCGTCATGTTGATCAATCGCTGTTCGTTGCGTTATTTATAATAATCTTGACAATTCGATAATGTACAGTTTGAATTGTCAGATTTATTGAAACCAAACTTTTTTTTCCGTTTATTCCAAATGTAATAATGTTTAGATATATTTAAGGCAATGAAAAATAATGAAGCAACATCATGGTTACTTCATTGATGACTTTGTATAATAAAATGGAAAGAGGTATTTAAACGAGTAAAGAGTATATTTCATTTATAGAATACACCATATTACCATCCGTAAACTTATTCAGTAATCTTCAGTAAAAGTAGGGACGTTAAATTCAATGTCAAATGTAGAGATTGTCGTTCTCTATGAACATAAAAACTAATTTTAACAACTCTTTGAGGGTCCGAATTTGCTTGCTTTAAGTCCTTATTTCTGATACTATACAATCATTCGCATTTTCCAATGTCATTCCAAATTTCATATCCTACACCCCATTCAACCCGATATTTCAGGACCTATATATTACATAATTGTTA